CTTAGGTGTATGTGGCTGGCGCATTAGCCAATTGAGCCACAGGGGCCGAGCCAAGTCCTGGATTCTTTACGTTTCTTCTAAGTTCTGATGGCAAACACAACAGTTCCTTTTTTAGCTTACTTCACTTCTCTGATACTACATCATATGTATTATTTAGAGACAGAGTCTCACATTGTTGTCCAAACTCCTGGGCTCAGCCTCCCTAGTAGGTGGGACTACAGGTGCCCGCCATAATGCTGAACTACTTTTTCTTTTCTTTTTTTGTGTGTGTGTGGGGCGGGCTACTTTTTCTATCCTTAGTAGAGAAAGGTCTCACACTTGGTTAGGCTGGTCTCCAACACCTAAGTTTAAGCAATCTACCCGTCTTGACATTCCAGAGTGTTAGGATTATAGGCATGAGTCACTGCACCCAGCCCATCATGTACATTTTAAAGGAGCCATCCAACCCTTTCCACATTCTGTTCAGAAATCTCCATATCCACATGTTCATTAGGTACCTTCTCTAGCTTTCATTTATCTGCAGGCTAGTTTAGGTAATTGTTCTACCCAAATTGGACTTTGTACTGCCAGTGGTGAAGGCCGCAGAGGTTCACATGGAATTTGGACAGGTGGAAGAAAAACCAAGGAGCCAAAGGTAGCTGTGACATGCTCTTTATTCAGCTCATGGTGGGCAGTGAGCAAGCATGGTAACAGTCTTCTTCATTCAGCTCGTGGGGGCAGGTGAGCTCCTATGAGAAGCTCTCCCCCAGGAGAAGCCCATACAAGCAGAAAGCTTTCGAGCCTTATAGAGCAGCCAGAACAACAGTGGTTCTGAATCAAGCACTAGTAAGAATGACGTCATATTGCTTAATCATGATTACTTAATATAACATGGCACCAGCCGTTAATCATGGTTACTTAAAATAATCAGTACCTGCTGGCCTTCAGGTAAGAAAGCCTCATTAACTCATCTTCTCCACAGACCCCCTTTTCTCCAGGTGCAAATAACAATATTCTCACTGTCCTTTAATAACAGTGTTCCTCTGTAACTGACTCCTCAAGGTTCTTCTAGCTTCCATCTTCCACCTGCTCTCAAAGCCACTGCCACGTGATTCAGATTTCTCTTACAGTAGGACCCCACTTCTAGGGGTATGCAGTTATGCTTCAGTGAGGCACTGCCATATAACAAACCACCTTAAAGCCTAGTATCTTAAAATGACAGCATTCACTTTATGCTAACAATTTTTGCAATTTGGACAGGTTTGCTGAAGAAAGCCTATTTCTCTTTCACAGCTCAGGTAGGGCTGGAGTATTTAGTCTCAAGATAGTCGATTCCCAAGGCTGGTAGATTGGTATTAGCTATCAGCTGAACTCAAGTGGGCTGTAAGCCAGGGACCTGGATTCGCCTGTGTATGCCTCTGCACACAGCTGACGGGGCTTCCTCAAATGATTGGAGGGAAGTGAGGGAATTGAGAACACTGTGGAAAGTAAAAATCAGAGAGCTGATGCACAACAGTCCGGCTACACTTAACACTACTGAACTGTACACTTAAAAATGGTTAGGATGGCAAGTTTTATGGGTTGTTTGCAACAATTATAAATAAATAAGAAAAGATAAGAGAAGATACTGATGGCCTGGAGGTGGGTATGGGCGAGGTGAGGCAGAGAAAAAGAGAGGCGTCAAGGATGACAAAACCTCATAAAACACAGCCTCTGGGTATAAGAACTTCTTTGGCTCAGGAGAAGAGTTAAGAGGCAGACACATGTGGTAGATACCGCAGCCTTCTGCTGCAAAGCTAACATAGGTACAAAGCCCAGCCACGAAAATAGACTCAAAATAGACCTTTAATGTTTCCAATTCCCGAGACGGACATTTAAGACATAATTATGGGTTTGGATTTCTTAAGACAAGCCTCAAAATGAACACTGCCAGAGAAACAGCAATGAGTAATAAAAACTACAGGTGTATGCAATATTTCCCTTTCAACATAACCTTGTAGGCTAGGCAGCAATGAGGTAGGGTAGGGGGCTCAGGAGAAAGCAGATGTTTTGGGGTCATTAGCCCAATTTTTCCAGGGCATAAAATCCCTTTGTTGTCTTCTATTCTCAGCATGTCTGGAAACTATTGCTACTGAGCCCATCGCACTTTTCAAAATTTCTTCCTTTGAAGTAGTAAACAAATCATAAAGATCATTTATATCCTGATTGAATGTACATTTTTCTTCTACTTGCAAACTCAAACTCTTTCCTCTCAATCACAAAGTTTTATAAATAGAGCAAGTCTGTTTACAGATTTTCCATGGGTCTTCGTGGTGATATATTTATTACTCTGTTTTTCCAAATAAGCCTAAGCCATTTTTCACAAAAGGGATAGAAAGCAGTAAACCCCATTTTCCTGACATCCCCTCCCCTCCCCCTATTTTCCTGAAAACACCCTGAATGTCTGTCACATTCAACCACTGAATATATACTTGGAAGGATCCAATAATGTCATTCAGTCCTGAAAATTAATAATGAGAAGACTTAATGTGATTGTTCATTAAAAAATAATTCAGGGCACCGGCCCCATATACCAAGGTTGGCGGGTTCAAACCTGGCCCTGGCCAAACTGCAACCAAAAAATAGCCGGGCTTTGTGGCCAGCACCTGTAGTCCCAGCTACTAGGGAGACTGAGGGAAGAGAATCGCCTAAGCCCAGGAGCTGGAGGTTGCTGTGAGCTGTGACGTCACAGCACTCTACCGAGGGTGACAAAGTGAGACTCTGTCTCTAAAAAAAAAAAAAAAAAAAAATTGAGTACCTACTATGTCTCATGGACTGTCTAGATGCTGAGTACACAATCATGGACAAGGCAGGCAAGGATCCTCTCATGAACTTATTTTTGTTTCTTATCTCAGAGGTTTCTGACTTTCAACAATGGACAAAGTCCTGGCTTGGCTTAAAGACAAAGGAATCAGGTTCTATGTTTGGAATTAAGCCATGTTTCCCTGGGTGGGGGGAGGGGAGGCTCTCCCCACATCCAGAACTCTCACAACATATTCCACTTACTCATAAATGGAGTCTGACTGGAACCATCAAGGCCTAGATTAATTGTCATTTTCCTTGGGCCCTTGCCAGGCTCCGACAAGACAATGCCTTTCTGTGGCGTGTATTCAGTAACAGGGGAGAATGGCTGAGGACAAAGTGCTAAGCCAGCACAGGGGTCAGAGACCACCACTCAGCTATTGTTCAGGAAGACATTGCCCCCTCGTGGTTCCTCATACAACTGAGAGAGGAGCCGGCAGGGGAAAGGGCTGCCACTTAACACAATCAATACACTAAAACACAAAAAGTTTCCAGATCACTTGATTCTTCTAAACCTCGTCAGTTGCGGGTTCCGATAGACTCTTGGTTTATTTTCATGCTGGATATAATTTTGTTCCTATAGAGAGAAATGGCATTAGGACACAACTGGAGGAACACACTTTTTCCCCTATCGAAATCCTTTTTTTCCCCCCAAAATCTCCAGACGCCCTAGAAAAACCCAATATGTAAATCCAAGTATCACGACTGTTTTTCTCTTCATAACGCCCTTTAAAGCAAACATTTTCTCTTTGTGTTATGTGGGGATTCTCTGAATAGGTTGCTGTGAAGTGGTTTGAGGGTATGTTGCCTCCACATTCCCTAAAGGCAGGGGTCTTATCTGCGTTTCCCACAGCCACCCCCAACCCAACCCCAGCAGCACTTACAGAATGTCCGGCGGGGGTGGGGAGATAAACAGTTAAGCCGGCAGCGACGGAGGTTAGAAACTGTGATTGGTGCGGGCAAGAGGTGGAGCAGAACCTACAGATACAAGGAGTTGTTAAGTTTGTAAGTTTGAAGGAATTTTAAAAGCTTAAATGATCCAACATTGAAAAAGCTCTCAGGGCCCAGGAAAAATGGAAATTTCCTCAATAATGATGTTAGTTTCCACGTACTGTCAAGCTAAACTAATCAAGAATGGGTGCTATGCGTGCTTCACCAGCCTAAACCCTCCTCTCAAATCCCCAAATATAAATAGAACTACTCTCAGGTCACGGAGGAGGAAACAGAAGCCATAGGTCCTTGGGGGTGCTGCAAATACTTAAGCCCCTTTTCTTGTTGAAGATCATCGCAACCAGAACTCCAGTTTCGCTTGCAGTAAGGAATCATCATTTAGCCAACAAACATTTACTGAGTGTCTACTATATACACCAGGTAGACCCTTTAAATAGCCGTAGGATTAAAAAGATAAAACAGGGCACGGTCTTGTTTTCCAGGAAGGAGCTCCCTGAAGAGCAGGGGGGCAGGTCTGGTAAACTATTCCAGAAAAGTCTGGCGAGAGCTGTTGAGAGGAGCCAGGGGCTAGAGAATCCTAGAAATTAGCAGCCGGTGCGAGGAAGGCTGCGGGGGCGTCGGAGGACCAGCGTTTCAGGTGGGTTTGAAGCCATGTGCTGAAAAAGCCGGCCCGGAGTGGGCAGTCCTCGGGGTCCCTCGAGTTCTCCCATCCTGTCATTTCAAGCCCGCGACTATGCGGGGAAGGACAAGGTCGGTCCCCTTCAGTACTGTAGAGAAGGGTAGGCTTAGGGACACGAGGTGCAGATCCCTCGTGAAAAGCGGGCAAACAAAAGTAGCACATGCCAGTTCCCAGTCCTCACACCAGCGGGGCCTGGTCCCCGCAGCCCCTGTCGCAGCTCACGCGTGCGGACGCGGGAGGTGGCAATTCGGGTCCAGCTCGGACCGAGAGGGCGGAAGGACCAGGCCTTCTCCCCTCCGACCTCCCGCCGAGCCCGGGCTGGGGTCGGCGGCTTCCGCCCGCGCCCGCGGCCCCTCCCCGGCGCGCGCCATCCGGCCGCCGCGCTCGCCGCAGCCCCTCCTCCCGCGGGGGGCTTCGCCGTCCTTCGTCCCGTCCCTCCGGGCTGGAGGCTGCAGCCCACGTCCAGGGAGGGCGGAGGGAGGAGGAGAGGGAGGGGAGAGAGGGGGAGGAGGGCGAGAGAAAGGGAGCTGCTAGGATCGCGTACTTCAGAGCCTGCCTGGAGCGCGCACTCAGCGGCTCTCCGGGTGCCAGCGTCCCAGCCGCGCCCCGCTGCCCCGCACCTCCTCCTTCTCCTCCTCTCCGAGCACCCCTCTTCCCCTCCTGCCAGCGGCTGCCCCCAGCCCCAACTCGGCTACTCCCCAACTCTCCGGGTTCTCTCCTGGGACGCGCGTCCTCGCCCCATCCTTTCTTCCTTCCTTCCTTCCTTCCTTCCTCCCCTGGCGCCCGCCCTCCCTCTCCAGGTCTCCCTCCCGGGACCCGATTGTCTCCGTCCCCTCTCGCTCGGCCCCGCGCCTCGCCCTGCCCCGACTCTCCCTCGCACTTCCTGAGTCGCCCGGCGCCGCAGTCTCGCCGCGCCCCGGCAGCCGCTGCCCCGCTCCAGCCCCCGCAGCCCGCGGCGCCCGCCGAGGGAGCCCCGGCGCCCGCGGAAGGCAGAAGTGGGCGCGCGCCCTCGCCCAGCCCCGCGCCCCAGCCCTGCCCGGCGAGGAAGGACCGGGAAGATGAACAACGGCGGCAAAGCCGAGAAGGAGAACACCCCGAGCGAGGCCAACCTTCAGGAGGAAGAGGTACTGAGTGGTCCGGGACGGAAGCCGCGGGCTTTTTCCAAAGTGCGGGCGGCCAGTGGGGCGCCGCGGTTGAAGGTTTGGGGACTTCTCTTAGCCCGGGACACTGCCCTGAAATGTGGCCCTGGGAGGGTGTATCCGGACAGCGCGTGTTTTGTGTGTCCACGCGCGTCTGCGTGCTTAAAATTGCGTAACTCCAAGGACTTTCCGGAGACTTTTTGTAAGTATAATGCTCAGCTTTGTTTGCCCGGGATTTAAAAAGTGGAATCGAGACTTGACTCCTGAGTGACCTCAGATTATTGGCACCTGGTGGGTCAGGATTTAGCTCTGGGTCTGGGGCTGGAAGTTGTGTGCGAGTGTGGGGGGTGGGGATTAAGGAAGAAACTTGGGGAAAAGTGCTGGTTAAAAGACACCTCTGATACCTGTCCCCTTCCTTTCCGTGTTAAAAGTTCTTGGTGAAATATCTTTGTAGCTGAGGCATTTTGGATTAATAGATAACTCATCAGTTGCATTCTTGTCGAGTGAGTCAAAGACCCCGAACCTGGGCGATTGACTAGAGTTTTTTTAATTTAGGGGTGTCGCAGATGTGGGGAGCAGAATAAGAGGGTTCAAAATTTAACAATTCGCCGAGTGTTCATCCAGGATGCTTTAGTAGGACTTTGACTTCTGAGCATAAATTTTATGGTGCGTGTCCGTAATAGTGGCTCGGCGCTGTCGCGGAGCGTTCTTTTGGTGGAAACAAACTTTAGGAACGTGGGGGAGAAGAAGACTCGAGAACAAACGCCTTAGAATTTCGTCATTAGGGTATTTGTTGTATCCTATCAAATGACTCTGATTGTAGGTACATTATCTGGAGTCCAAGAAACTATTTCTCCTTTGCTTTTTAAGATCTTGCATATTTGAGTTCTTAAACATCCTGCGAGGAACTCCAGACTCTGCCGATTCAGGAAAGCATACATCTCAGGATGCCCTATAAAAGATTTTTACAGGTATTGCATCCTCATAGGGAAGGTGAACACCGAAGGTGAACCCGTACTAAAGCGGTTAGCCTGTTGAGATTACTGTTCAGATACCGTGTTGGTGCAAACTAAAATTTTGATAGTGAAACCAAACATTTCAGGAGGAATTCATCAGTACCTATAAGTCCTCTCTACACATCGTTCACTTAGAAAACGGGAACTATTTAAATGGGAAAGATAGTAGAAAAACCAAAGGACACGCAAAACGATGCAAAATTTTACACTTAACACAATGCAAGATTTTACTCTTAACTCAGTGGTTGGTAGTGCAGCCCAGGTGAATTGCGGAAAATTGCCTTCTCACCTGAGGAAATAACTATTTTAGTATGAAGTATGACTTGTAAATATGTTTTATAACTACAGATGTAGGGATATACTGATACCTCCTTTCTTATTTAAAGAGATGGAGACTTGAACTGCAAGTTACACTTGTTTCTTCAACCTTACTGACTCCTTTGCTATTTGAGTGATTTTTCCCTTATCACATAAAAATTTTTAATGATGGTAAGTTTGCTTTTTTATCGTTATATTTAACCATTTCACTTAAGGCATGAAAGTAATCATTGTTTCAAAAATCTTTCTATTTCGGTTAGATAGGTGATCTCTTCCTAAGGGTAAGATGTCTTGTGTGAAGCCATCCTCTGTTCACCCAGTTGAAAAAAAGTGTAACTGGGAAAAAGTTAATCAGGCAAACCAGTTTTTGTTGTTGTTGTTGTTGTTGTTAAGTGTCTTACAATTAACTTAAAATTAAGCAGGGAAGAGTCATGTTTTTCTGCTTGAGCCATCCCAGCTGAACTGCTGAGATATTGCCTGCTCTGAACCAGGGTGCCATGCTGTTAATATGAGGGTATTATAATGAGGGTGTAATCAAGGGCCACAGCTGTACACTCCCTGCCTCTCACTAGTTTTCTCAACCTGACTGTTCCTTTTTGGGTAGAAACGGCGTGTAGCTTTAGGAAGTGTCAGTATTTTTAGCAATATACTTGTTATTTAAAAACTAAGAGGGACAGGTAGGAAGAATCCAGAGCCCAAGCTGTCCGGGAGGTAGAGTGTATAAATAACCCAGATAAACCCCTGAAGAGAGAGAGGGCTTACAAAGGGTAGAAATTCAGGAAAAGAAGGTAAGTTAGCTTGAAAGATTTAGGTAATTTTGCCTTCATACCCTGTTTTTGGTTTATGTTTTGGTTTTGAAAA